CCCCCGGCCCTGCGGCGGCCCCCGCTCCTGCCCCCGCTCCTGCCTGGGGAGTGGGCAGAAGGACCTGGGGGCGAGCCTGACTGGGACAACGCGGTGTTGATCCGGCGGGCTAGGGACAGGCTGCTGCTTTTGGCCCATAGACCCTGATGGAAAGGGTGGCCGTATTATTTGTTGGGCAAACCTGGACTCTTTGAAGAGTGAAATAGGCACGATTAATGTTTACGCCTGGACAGCAGGCATAAACAAGTCCTGTCTTGGGCAAACCTGGACAAATAGTTGCTTTGTTAACTGAGAATCTACTATGGGTGAGGCAGAGCCAGGCCCTTTGCAGCACCTGCCTAACGGGTCCTGTGGTACATACAGTTCATCACGTCTCTTCATCTTCCGAGCTCTGCCCCAGTACATTGTGGCATGACCTCTCACCCCGATTGTCCTGTTTTCCTTCAGGCCTCTAATATTAATTCAGTGTTCCCATGTATTATCATTCTAACTTGTAAGTTCTTGAAAGTTCTTTTTAGAATTAAATCTGATCATTACAGCCTGCTGCTTCATATGTTTAATGCTTCTCGTTGCCATTAAGATAAACTCCATTATTATTCACTCAGATAGCTTTTCTTGTCTCAGTGCCAGTTGGCCAGACCCAGCTGGATTTCTATCCCAATTCTGCCACTTAACAATCCTGTGACTTTGGATAGGTCACTTACTCTCTGAGCCTGTTGTCATCATCTGTAAAGTGGGTGAGTCTAAAAAGGCTTAGCCCAGTGTCTGATCCAGGGTAGCAACTGAACAGGTCATCAAATATTCTTCCTTCCCTGCTCTCCCTGACTTTGCAGGACCCAGGGGCTACATACATTCCTGGCAACCAATCTCTTACTCACCTGTTTCAAACCCTCCCTGGCTCCTTTCCACACTCAGGATGAAGTTCTTTACTAGAGCTTCCAAGGTCCTTCCTAATCTGTCCTCATGTACTTCACAGCCTCCTTTGTCCACGCTCTCCCTACCCTGTTTCCTCCCCCGGCTCTTCACTCTGCCTGCTGCCAAACTCTTTGTCATGAATGATCTTGCCTTGCTCTTTTTTACTGCTTGGCCTGTGCACTTGCTGGTCTTGCTGCCTGGATTGCCCTCCGTACGCCCCTTTGCCTATTATTTTTCAGGTCTCAATTTAGATGTCACTGCAAGGAAGCCTTCACTGACATTCCCCCATTCCCACCTGGGTCCTCTGCACTGTTCTAGCTGCCCCATCCATCACTGACCCTATCTCAGCCCATACCTTGCTAAATTTTATTGACTAGTGCTGTCCAACAGAAATATAACTTGAGTTCCATATGTAATTTAAATTTTTCTAGTAGCCAAATTAAAAAAATAAAAAGAAACAGGTGAAATTAATTTTGATACTGTATTTTATTTAATTCAGTATTTCTATATATTATCATTCTAACTTGTAAACAACAGAAAATTATTAATAATTATTAAAATTATTTTGCATTCTTTTTTATCTGATTGAGTCTTTGAAGTCAGGTATATATTTTATGCCTACAGCAGTTCTCAATGTGGATTAATCACATCAGGTGCTCAGTACATATATGTGGCTGATCACTCCTGTATTGGACAGTGCAGGTATGCTGTTCACTTGTCCATCTCCCAGATTAGACTATGACCTATTTGAGAGCAGGGGCTGCGTTTTGATCATCTTGGTAACCCTACTTCCTAACCTGGTAGCTGGCTCATAAATGGGCCTCAGTAACTACTTGTTAAATCACTTGAATAAACAATGATGTTTTGACAGTGTTATTCCCTTTTTATAGGTGAGGACACTGAGGCTCAGAGAGGTCAAGTGAACAGCCTGGGATCCACAAAAAAGTACACAATTGAGCAGGGGTTCAAATCCAGGCCTACTGACACCAAAGCTTGGCTCTCAGTAACCTGTCCTGCCTTCTGACTGGTTCTCTGTACCTTTTCTGAGAGGATTCTGGGAGGGTTTTTCAGAGCTGCTGGTACTTGAGCTGGCCCTTAAAGACTGATGTCACAGTGGAAGAGAAAAGTCCCTAGAATAAAATCACCTCGTCTTCTAATATGAGTACTCTTCTGCTTGACAATTTCCAAGCCCCAGTTTTAGAGACTAAACTGGAGTCCAGTTTGTCCTTAGACTTGTTGAATTAGGTTAGTGTGCGTCATTCTCTTTAAACCTGATCACCTGTGGGTGCCCCAAAGCGCTCCAGCCCTGCGACATTTAGGCCCAGATCCCAGCCCCAGGAACCTCACCCAGGCTAAGGCCCTTTATTAAGCCCTGCCTGGCGGTGTCAAAAGAACCTGGGCTTTGTACTCAGGATGACTGAGTCTGAATCCTGCTTCAGCCAGTTACTAGCTGTATTGCTTGAGTAATTCACTTAACCCTTGTGAGCCTCAGTTTCTCTCCAGTGGCAATATCTATTTTATCTGTGTAGATATTACCTGATAATATCTGTTTTATCTGGATGTCTGTGTAGATGATGGAGATTGTATATAGCCTGGCACCTACTGGGAGTGCATTAAATGTTAATTGTTTTTGTTATATTGTTACCATGTTGCACTGTTTCCTGGACAAAATCCTCTGCGCCCACAACCCTGGGTCCATCCCTTTGTTTTCATGCCCAGGATTCTGCTTCTCCCTAACAGTGAGCTTCCTAAAACCTGGGCCCAGCTTGTCCATCTATAGGTCCTTCCAACACATGGCCACTACATGCTTGCTGTCTATTTAGGGGTGGAGCAAAAAAGAAATGTTTTCTTATAAGTTTATACTTTTCTAAAAGTTTGTATAGTTTATACTTTATCAGGCAAAGAATGCCTTCATGGAATTTTGTAGAAGGAGTTTGAGAAAGGGGATGGTGGAGTGAAGTTTTCAGTGAAAGCCTAAAAGGTTGATCCAAGGCTGACCTTGGATCAGGGGTACTGCTAGACTGTGAGGTTTGAGGAGAGCACTCCTTATCACCAGTGTAAACTCTGAGGGCAGAGAGCACATCTGGCTTGTTACCTCCTCTATCTTTAGACCTAGGACCATCTCTGGCACATAGGAGAGGCTCAACAAATTTGTGTTGAATGAATCAGTTTTGTTCAGTCTCTGTTTGAAAAGCTAAATACTACGTAAACATATGTCCTATGTTTAGTAGTGAAATGCTGCTATGTAATCACTGAAAAAGTGCACATACAGAATATCAACTGGTACAGTCTTTCTAGAACACAATTTGGCATCTATTAACATTAAAAATGTGCCTGTGTGTTTTTTAACAGCTTTATTGAAATATAATTTATATTCCATTAAGTTCACCGTTTAAAATATACTACTTAATGATTTTTCAGTATTTTTATGGAGTTATGCAACCTTCACCATAATTTAATTTTAGAATATTTTTATCATCCAAAAATTATGCCCATTTGCAGTTGCTCCCTGTCTTAGTCAGCTTGGGCTGCTGTAACAGAAATACTGTAGACTGGGTGACTTATAGACAACAGAAATTTATTTCTCATTGTTCTGTAGGCTGGAAGTTCAAGATCAGGGTGCCAGCGTGGTCAGGTTCTGGTGAGACCCTCATCCAGGTTGGAGACTGTTGACTTCTTAGTGTATCCTCATGTGGAAGAGAGTAGAAAGAGGAATCAAGCTCTTGCTCATCTCTTATAAGGACACTAACCCCATTCATGAGGGCTCTACCCACATGACCTCGTTTCCCAAAGCCCCATCTCCTAATACCATCACATGGGGAGGGGAGGGTTTCAACATGAATTTTGGAGGGTCACAAACATTCAGTTCATAACACTCTCCATATCTTCTTTCCCCACTTCAGCCTTAGGCAACTACCATCTACTTTTTGTCTATAGAATCGCCTATTCTGGACATTTCCTATAAATAGGATCTTACAATATGTTGTCTTTGAGAGATTCATCCACGTTGTAGCTCGCATCCTTTTTATGGCTGAATAATATTCCATTGTTTACATGTGCCATATTTTGTTTATTCATTCATTGGTTTGTAACATTAGAGTTTTACTTTTTTGGCTATTATGAATAATATTGCTGTGAAATTTATTTGTATACAAGTCTTTTGTATGGACATATGTTTTCATTTCTCTCTAGGTATATACTTGGGAGTGGAATTGCTGAGTCATGTGATAAAACTATATTTAACATTTTGAGGAACTTTCCGACTCTTTTTCCAAAGTGGCTGCACCATTTTACACTCTGATCAGCAGTGTATGAGGGTTCTTATTTCTCCATAGCCTCACCAACACTTGTTATTGTCTGTCTTTTTTATTGTAGCCGTCCATGGAAGTGTGACTTGGTATCTCACTGTGGTATTGATTTTCATTTCCCTAATGACTAATGATGAGCATTTTTTCATGTGCTTATTAGCCATTTGTATATTTTCAAACTCTTTGCCCATTCAAAAATTGTGAATATGTTTTGGTCCAGCAGTTTCACTTCTTGTTACCTATCCACAAGAAATCCTCATGCATGTGCACAAGGAGACCTGTATGAGGATGTTTGAACAGCATTGTTTATAAAAGGAAAAACTTGGAAACACATTGAATTACCATAAGGGGACTGTGTAAATACAGATCCTTTCAAAAGTGTCTTTTAGACTGTGACCCGTGGCAGCTCATGAAATTCAATTTAGAGTTTACATTCAGAATTTTATAAAATGAAATAGAACAGAATAGAATACATTTCAGGAATTAAGGGTAATATATTTCCTCCTATTGGTCGTGGGCAGTACGTTTTGGAAAAGAGTGCTGTAGAATGCTTTGCAGGAGTTAAACACATTGAGGGAGATACATTTGTACTGTCATGAAAATATCTTTAGAACACATTAAGTGAAGACGCAGAATAATATATAGAGTTTGATTGCATTTATTTATTTTTAAGCCACAAGATAAAACTATGTCTCTGTGTATGTAAATACATAGAAAAAGGTCTGGAAGGATACATGTCTTAGTGGTAGCAGTGGTTACCTCTGAATGGGAGTGAGGAGTAGTTAGAGAACTGTAGGCTTATCTCTGTTTTTGCATTTATATATTTCTTCTCTAAAGATAAATAACATAGAATGGCAAATGAATTGTTGAAAGGCAAATAAAAATGCGCTTGTTGGTATAATTGTTTTCTGAAAGTGACGTTCAGTCCCATCCACAGCTCTCATAACACTTTCCCAATGAAACACTTAGTCCTTGCTTGGGGCCTGTGGTGTGAATGGACAATTGTTGCTGCCATATACAAACACAGAAAGAGATCGCTCCTATTGAGTGGCCGTAGAGCAAGATAGGAGGATGAGCTGGCGAAGCTCAGGTGGGTGTCCATTCATTCAGTCAGCAAGTAGTTGGCTAACAGCAGTCGAAGTGGCCCTGCGCTGTGGCGAGCAAGCACTGGAAATCCTCTGCGTCCGTTCATTTGGACCTCCCCACAGTCCCCTGGAGGAAGGTGTTAGGGGTGCCAGGGTGATGTAGAGGTTAAGAACATAGGGTTTGAAATCCAGCTAGCTTGGCTTTTGCAGTTTATTAACTTTTCTGGGCCTCTGTGTCCTCATTTTTAAAAATGGCAACATTTAAAAACTACCATGTACCACAGAAGGGTTGTGGTGAGTCTTAAATGGGAGGCTGCCTGTCCTCCTCCCATGTGGTTCCCGCTCAGAATCAGTGCCCTATATGGCAGACTTGTTATAATTTTGCTGGATTTTTCTGGATTTGGTCTCAGCTTTGCTACTAATGCTTTGTGATTTTGAACAGGTAAGTTCCTTCCTCTTTCTGGGCCTTAGTCTCTCCCATCTGTACCATGATAAAACCATATCTAAGCCCTCTTTTTTTGCTTGCATAGGTTTGATTTCTCATGAGGCTCTATGAAGCCCCAACCTTAATTCTCAGGCTAAAAATGAGTGATCAGAATGGGAAGAGGGAGCTACTTAGAGCTGGAAGGGCAGCTGGAACTGACTGGAGTGTGCAGATGACAGATTCATAGCATTCTAAAAGTGGTAGGTACTCCCTGGATGGGTGGCTCAGTTGGTTGGAGCATCATCCCATACATCAAAAGGTTGTGGGTTCGATTCCCAGTCAGAGCACATACCTAGGTTGTGGATTTGACTACCAGTTGTTGTGCGTAAAGGCGGAAAACTGATCAATGTTTCTCTCTCTCTCTCCCTTCCTTTCTCTCTAGAATCAATAAAAACATATCCTTTTCCCTGGCTGGTGTGACTCAGTTGGTTGGAGTGTCGTCCTGTATACCAAGGGGTGATAGGTTTGATTCCTAGTCAGGGCACATACCCAGGTTGTGGGTTCAATCCCTGGTTGAGGCTCATGTGGGAGGCAGCCAATAGATGTTTCTCTCTCACATTGATGTTTCTCTCTCTCTCTTTCTCTTCCTCCTTCCCTCCCTCCCTCTAAAATAAAAAACAAGCAAAACAAAACAAACAACATATCCTCGGATGAGGATTATTTAAAAAAAGTGGGTAGGTAAAACCCAAGTGGAAACTTGGCAGGAGCCAGACAGGAATTTCTGCAATATGTAGTGGTTTCTTCTAAGAGTTGGGACGTCAAATGTCATTTTTCAAACTTTAGTGTTTGCCTGTTGGAAACTATCTAAGACCAAATTCTTTGGCTTTGCCTACCAGGTAGTTTTCAACCGTGATTGATCTTGGTTTGAGTAATTGATGAGCCATTTTAGCCAGTGGGAGTCATTCAATAGCTGTGGTGCAAAGAACCCTGGATTGGGAATGTAGAGACTAGACTGTAGGCTGAGTTTGACTGGTAGGTAACCTTGTGTGTGCCCTCGGGCCTTTGGGCCACTATCTGCAAAAGGTGGTGATTGAACTTGATTTTAATTTTTAAGAAAATTCAATTTAGAAAATGGAGTTTCTCTTTTTAGTGATGCTTATTGGAGGGAATTGAGAATTATAGAAAATTAAAAGAGGAAAATCCCTCATTTCCACAAATGATGATTTTAAATATTTCCTTTGTCTCGTTATGTATTTATAGCCCACCTAATTTAGAATTGACTTCAGTGTATACATAAATTTTTGAATAATTGAGGGTATATTCTACTTAAATTTTTTTCAGTTGTCTTTATAGCAGACACATGTAATCATTCTCTTGATGTTGGACTTTTATGATACCCATTTTTCTGCTTGGCACTCATCTTGGCGGTGCATGCCAGCTCTAAGTTTGGCGATCAGTCAGAATTGTCTTCAGAACAAAATGGATTCAGATTTAGAGGTCTGGAAAGAACAAACTGTCAAGTAGTCAAGCTGAGCTTCCATCAACTCCTACTTTACAGCTTGGGACAGGAATGCATCATTGCAGGTTAGACATAAAAGGCTTGGAATCTGGACTTGGTTTTCTATTTAACTACCATGCAACCCTGGATAGGCCACTGAAATTATCTAGATGATACCACCTTCCTTTGAAAAATGCATGGACCCTCAGAGAATTGGGTAGCTCTCATGATAGTCAATCTTTTATAAATTATAAAGCACTGTATGTTTCTAGGTGACAGTGATATTTTGCTTCCATCTATGGGGTACCCACAGTATGCAGTACCTTGCTGGGTATTTGTGTCTTGTTCAGTTGTCAGTTACTCTATGAAATGGCTGCTGTTCTCCTTTCACAAAAGAAGGAAGCAAAGCCTGGAGGGGTATGTGGCAGAGCTTAGAATAGAATCCAGGGTAGTGTCTTTTGTGTTAAACCACTCCTCCTGTTATGGTTTAATTTTCTGACAATGTCTTCAGATCTTCACTGTACCTATTTTTATAACTCACGTAGTAAAATTTGGATCAGTGAATTTTGCATTTTTTGTTTGATGTACTTAAAGCATTTGAATTGGTGCCTGATTCTTGGAAGCTTAATTTTTGGTTGTGATAAGTATATTAATAATAGTAATGACAAAAACAATAGATGCCACTTATTAAATGTTTACCATGTGCTGTGTGTTTATATACGTTAACTCATTTAATCTTCACAGCTAGCTGGTGGTATTCCCATGTAACAGATTAAGAGAGTGAGACTCAGAAACTTGTATTTGGCACAGTGCCTCTGCACCTACCGCATATATGGCACACAAACATTTGATGTGTGAGTGAATGAATGAGTGAATGCCCAGCCTTCCTGAGGGTCACTCAGCTATGGAGTTCTTAACCTTGGTACTGCATGCCTCCTACATGGCTCAGCTCTGTGTCTCTCATTGGCCGCAGCCTGATGGTTGTCATGTGCGGCCTAGGCAGTCTTAACCATCTCTGTTGTTCAAACACTAACTCATCTCTTATGCACATGTTCTCTCTTAGTGGCCTTGTTCCCAAGTTACCAGATGACCTGGAAGGCATCAGCCCCATTGCCGGTTTGGGAAATGGTGGTAAGTACACAGAGTGGGCATTCTCTTGAGTAAGAACAAGGGAAGTAAACACCAGACCATGAGGGCCTTGAGGCCTTGAGCCTGGGACTGGACTGTGACGTCTCTGGGGCCCAGAGCCGACCCTGGCTGGCCTGGCTAGGTGCTCACAGTGGGTGCTCAGTATTTTATATATGCACTGATTTGTTATTCACCTCCTTTCCTAAACACAGGACTAGAGGAATTGGTGTCCTTTAGGCCATATTTCATGAGTTTTCTTTCTTGCTACTAAGCTTGGAGGGATTCAGTCTGTGTTTGCTAAGCTGAATGATTACATGGAGGCTGGACTTTGAATTGGTGACTAGTCAGGCACAGAAGATCTGTTGGTCCCCACTGCTGAGTGGCTGGAGGCCGCGGAGAGCTGCTGTGTGAACTCTCCTGTGCCAAGGCCTTCCTGGCAGGCTGCTGGATCCCATCTGCAGGCAGAGGCCCAGCATTCCTACGCAGACCTGCCCTTTGGAGACAGATAGCTGGTAGACCCAGGAGACGGTGCTGCGTAAATAAGCAGTGAGTCACGGTGAAGCCGGCTATGAAGAGACTTTCTGCTTTGCAGTGTGCATTTTGCTAAGCATTCTGCATAATTTTTTTTAATCCTCACCCGAGAATATTTTTCCATTGATTTTTAGACGGCGAGAGAGAGAGAAAAACATCTATGTGAGAGAGACACATCAATTGGTTGCCTCCCCGACACGCCCTGACTGGGGTTGGGGATCCAGCCTGTAGCCTGTAGCCATGCCCTTGACCGGGAATTGAACCCGTAAACCTTTGGTCTGAGGGCTGATGCTCTAACCACTGAGCCAAACCGGCCAGGGCAATTCTGCATAATTTTTGTTTTTGAAAAAGGTGCAAGCTATTGTAAGTGCCTGTGGGAAGTGCTAATAATTTGACTTGCTGAAATATGTTAGAGGTATTTTGACTTGTGTTTTATTCTCTTCTCCAAAATGATGAGATATGTACAAAAGGAAGAGGTTTTTAGAGCAGGTCATATAAATGTCACAAGGTCTGTTTCTAGAGAATACTTCAGCTTATAGGCCACCCTTAGGTTTTCCTTCAGAATATGTTAACTTTTACTTTTAGCACAAAATCCAACAATTCAGCCTTTTGCTCTTCCTGCCCACAGGCAGTTAGAAGCAGAAAGTTGGTAGGCCTGCTCCTTAATTCAGCCCATGTGTGCGTCTGCTTCATGCCAGGCTGCAGGCTAAGCACTGGGATTCAATCTTGAACAGGTCACGGTCAGGCTGAGAAGTCAGACAATTAAACAAAGAATTATTATGGTAAGTCATGTGATGAATGTAATGAGCAAAGAAGTATGAATTTCCCAAGAAACCGGTATTGGAGCCAAGAATTGAAGAATGACTAAGACCCAGATAGGGACAGACGCACAGATGACCCAGCCTGTCCCGTGTGAGGAACGGGAACACAGGTCTATGTGCACTAAGTCTGGCGAACAGGGTCCCTCACCACCTGCCCCTGCCCAACTCCTGAGCCTCTTTTCTGTTTAGTGGTCCAGAGCACCGTGCCCATTCCGACTTCTGGGCCTTTACATGGGAAGTTTCTTTGCCTTTTGCGCCCTTGTCTGCCTGCTGCCTCTTTAAGACTGAGCTTGAAGCTCACTGCCTTCCCTGGCTCTCCTCAGCTTGACTTAGGTGCACTTTCCTCTCTGAAACTTATGTATTTCATTTCACTGTATTTCATTGAGTCCTGTTGGCTACTTTAAAAATATCCAGAGTTAGACCACTTCTGGTCTAATTCTGACTCACGTATATACTCCTGCCACCCTGGTCTAAGCCACCGTGAACTCTGGCTTAGATTGTCCCCGTATTCTCCTAACTGGCCTCCTTGTTCCTAAGCGCCTTTCAGTCTGTTCTCAGAACAGCAGCCAGAGGGAGCCTGTAGAAGCCAGAGTCTGATCATATTACTTCTGAACTTAGAGTCCTTTGTTGGCTCTCGGAGTCCTGAGAAGAGCCTGCAGGGCCATCCACAGTCTGTCCCCCAGTACCTTACTTACCTCCTCTCTGGCCCTTTTAGTCCGTTGGCATCATGACTGGTCCTCAGACCCACTAGTCATGCTCCCACTTCAGGCTTCTCCCTTTATCCTTCCCTTCAAGTCTGCCCAGATGTCACCTTCTCAGTGAAACCTTCCTTAATTTAACCACTTTACTTAAAATTACAATCCTCGCCCCTCTTGGTATTTCGTATCCTTATCCACTCTGTTTTTCTCCGTAGCATTTATCACATTTTAACATACTATGTAATTGTCCTATGATTTTGTTTATTGTCTGTCTCCTCTTCCAGATATCAGCTCCATTTGTTTTGCTTCCTGATATAGCCACATCTAGAATGATGCCTAGCAGAGAAGGGGCCCTCTATGCATATTTGTTGGAAGAATGCATTTACTCAGCAGCTAAAAAGTGCCACGCCCTTTGTGCAGCATAATAGCTTGTGTCCATCTCTGTCTTACCCACTAGACTGGGGACCTCTTGGGCTCTGCATCACTGTCTCCTTCACTGTTGTTTCCCCAGCACCTAGCTTGGCACAGAGTAGGGGTGTAATACATGTTTGCTGAATTAATGAAGCTGTGGAAAAATTTGGGTTTTGGCAAAGTCTTTAATCATTCCAAAGCAGGGATCAGCAGTTTCCGACACTGCCTGCTTTTGAAAATCAGCTTTTATTGGAACACAGCTTCTTTATTGGTTTTTGAATTGTCTGTGGCTGTTTTTGTGCTGCAGCAGAAGAGTTAGTAATGTAGCTGTCTTAGATTTGTAACAAAGTTTAGGCTTTATGTATGGCCTGCAAAGCCTATAGTATTTGTTGTCTGGTGTCTTTAAAATGTTGCCAACCTCTGCTGTCAAGTCATACATGCTTTGTTTTAGTTGCTGACATGTGAGATGACATCCTGGTCAGCAGAATAGTTTAATGACAAAGGGTAAGGAAGTGCATATCAGGACGGTGCTGCTTCACCACATGCCCAGTGCATTTTCTGGTTCATCCTCTGGCACACATTATTACATTGGGGCCAGTTTAAGTAATTTGTAAATATTTGAAATCTAATGGTTTAGAGCTTTCCCTGGACTCAAATCAGTAATTCACAATAGACAGAAAGTACCTGCAGAATATACTGTGCAAGCTATTCTCATTGTTTTCTTCTCTAGGCTCTATTCCCTGATAGGGATGCTGGGTGATTTGCATACCATGATATTTTTGTCTATTTTACCTTTTTGTAGTGCTCCCAAAGGTGTCAGAAGAAACGGTGTCTCCCACCAGAGCACGGAACATGAAGGACTTTGAAAATGTAAGTGGAGATACCAAGTTACTGTCCCTAATAAGTCCTGCCTGCCGCTGTCTAAGCAGACCCAGGAGGGAGCTGCATTTCTTGACAAGTGTCTAAGCTAGATAATGCCAGAGTTCGGAGGGATATTGTGTCTCTTGGGCATTCTCTGTGCGACTGTTGCATACCTAGGTAGTCGGCCCTTTAACATGTGGGCCAGTTATGGGTTCTAACAGGATCAGCAATTTCCAACTTGGGGGAAGGTGGTGTATTTTTGGTGCCCTGAACATGAGGGTATTACCGTATTGCACTGTTGAGAGAGCTTATAGTTGTCAAGGGCTTTCTTGTAATGTCAGGCGCCTTATTTATGGTCCCCATTTAATCTTTGCTACAATTCTATGAGGTGTTTTGAATTATCCCCATTTTACAGATAAGGGATCACATAATACTTAAGTGGCAGAGCTGGGATTTGAATCCAGGTTTTTAATGATTCCAAAGTCATTATTCTTTTCACCACATTGGGGCGACTCCTTGCATCTTGTTGCCGTTGAATGAAACGTGAGCAGCCTGGACCTAGTTCTGTGTGGTAATTGTCTGAGGATGGATTACTTGGTGATAGATTTGGCTCCTGTGCTTAATGTCTTTTGGCACCATGTCTTTCATTTGTTAGTGGAGGGGGTTTGTTGTCAAGTAACAGGAAAATAAGGTTATTTTCCCAATTCCAAGTCTCCTTAACAAGTTACCTGTTCAATGCTTTCATTTATCATGGAGAGAATTAGACCTGTCTTCATTTATAACCAAATGAAATCCATACCATGCAAGATATGGGAGATATTTATCAGAGAGAAGATGGAGGACACAGAGGGAAGGGCGTTCCACAGTCATGTTTCTCTCTCCCCAGTTGTCTACAGAACAGAGCGGTACTGTCTCTGGATTTAATTTAGAATACTCATTACTGCTAATAGTTATCTGCAAACCACCAGTGACCAATTGAAGAAATGACTTGTCAGATCTGTAATGGAAACAAGTAATTTCTGAGCTTTGAGTTGTTATAATTTCAACTGTGCAACTTGATCTATGCTGTGGGGTCTGGGGCTTCAAACAAATGAGATTTGATTATTTCACATTGTGTATAATTAAAATGTGCTCTACTCTTAAATGGTTGTTCCTGTTTTATCATAAGAGTAATAATAGCTATTGCTTATTGAGCTCTTGCTCTGAGCTGGGCACTTACGTGTTAGACTCTTCACATACATTACATTAATATTAAAGCAGCTCTGCAAGATAGTTATTTAATTTACAAAGGACACAGTTTTGAATTTTTCTAGATGGAAAAATTTAATAGACTCTTAGAATTTTTGTTTCACATTTTATTGTCTGCCTTTTGACCTGGGAGGAATCTTAGAGTTGCATCCAAGCCTCTATTATAGGTAGGAGAAGCTGAGGCCCAGGGGTGTGACATGGCAAAGCTGTTCTCAAAGCACCACAGCCTCTGGAGCCAGACTGCCTGCTCATTCACTTCTTCTGGGTGACCTTGGGCCAGTCACTTAACAGTTTCTATTTCATAGCGCTGTTGTGGGGATTAAAGGCGTGAATGTGTGTGAAGCACGTGTGCCTAACCCAGCTCATCCTGTGTGTCAGCTCCTGCTCCTTCTTATTGTTATTGGTATATTTATTATTGTGATTTTTTTCCTACTCTGCATATGATTTAAGTTTCCCTTGCTCAGATGTGCTCTTGATGACCTAAGTACTATTTTTCTTAAAGGCGAGGGAGAGCCTTCCATGCCAATATGTTTTAGGATTTATGGGTTTTTGTTTTTTTTATGACTGTGGTCCTTTGGCTGCTGTTAGGTTTTTATGGCATTAGTATTTTTTACTGTAGCATTTTCAAGAGCAAATTCTCAGTTGAAATTGAAATGACCACACTGTTCTCAGTGTCTCCCTTTTAGGTCTTTATAAGTCATTGAAAATTTTCTTTTGGCCTGAGCTACCCACTGCATGACCTCTGTGTTGAGGTAGTCTGCACTTTCTGCGGGGTGCTTATAGGAAATGCTCTTGGCATGTCATGCTAATATTCAAGTCAGCATGCATATTAAAGAGGAGACTGGAATACTTTTAATTTAAGAGGAAACTTATGATTCTTCTTATAGTCTCAGATGATGGGTATCTGAGCATCAGGGTCCATTAGCTAGCATCTAGCAAGACATAGGCCTCGCTCTGGTTTTGCTCAGAGTTCATCTGTTCATCAGTAAATATTTTCAGATATATATCCTGTACCAGGATAGGCCAGGGGCTGGGGGATTTGCAGTAGTTAATACTGGATACATCTCCCTGTCAAGAGGCTCACAATCTAGTTGGGGAGATGGAGAGGAAAATAGTGCAGTGATAGAGATAAGTACAGGGCTCTGTGGGGCACAGAGGAGGGGCCCTTAATCTGGCTTGGGGGATTCAGGGAAGCCTCCCTGGAGGAGGTGTTCCTTGAGTTGGGTCTTCAGGGACGAGGAGGGATTAGCCAAGGCTAGAGGTCTGGGAGAGCTGTCCCAGATACAAGGACTCACGTGGGCAAATGTAGAGGCATGATAGGGTGTGATGAATTTAGAGAACTGTAAGTTCCCTTTGGCTGGAAGGAGACTGTGTGAGGGGACCTGAGAGAAGTGAGGCCTTGAAGCAGGCAGGAGTCGGATCCTATATGCTACAGTATTTTGTTTAATTTTGTTCTGAAGATGAAGGGGAGCCATTGATGGATTTTAATCTGGGAGGGAAATGACCAAATTACACTTTCAGGTCACCCAGACTACTGAGAGCATGAAGGGAGCAAGGCTGGGGGCAGTGCGATCAGTTGAAAGGTTGCTCTGTGTGTGTGTGGCCTTGTGGGGAAGGGGATGATGCTGGAGCTAAGGGATGGCGTCACAAGATGTTTAGAAGAAAGTCAGAATTTCAGAGCCAGAGCAATGCCAGGAGTCCCTTCATTTAACACATGGGGACTCTGAAGCCCAGAGAGTGGGAGGGACTTCTTCAGGCTTTGAACTTGAGTCTCCTGGCCCAGGAAGTCTTTCTACTCCACTCTGCTATTCTCTGCAAGGCCTCACTCTGATATGTGAAATCCGCATGCCTTCTTTTGGGTCTTTAAGCTGGTAATCCACTGCCTAGTATCTTCATTAGCTGATGGTATTATCACCTCTGTGGCAGGCCTATGGTAGGAAATTGGCAAATCAGTTTGGTCTTCAGTGGGAGCCTGTCTTATTGGACCCAGAATCTGGTTCAGCATATCCAGTCAGTCCAGTAGCAATCCTTATTTCATATATATATGAGTTTAATTCTGGCTTTTTTTGTGACCTTCCTGACAGAGAATGATGGGTAGCTTTCTACCTCCGTTAATACTACTGATGGATAGTATTATTTAATGACTGTCTAAAGTTCAGAAAGACATAGTAAAAGGGATGGATTGAACTGTAATTTACATAATCTTTTATTGTGGGACATTCCAGATTGTTTCTAATTTTTCACCAGTACAAACAAAGCCGTGATGAATATCTTTGTGCACATATCTTTTTACAGTTATGTGATTATTTTCTTAGGGTGAATTCTGCTGCTCATGTCTCATACCCACCTGCCCTGAGGTGCTAGTGTTGTATCCAGGCCCTTGTTCCTTTTTGTTGAAAATTCTTGGTCTCAGCTGAGGCAGTTGGTCAAATTTAGTGTTTTCTCTGAGGAATGGCGAGGAGGTTCACATCTTCAAATTTGCTCTGTAACCTCTATGTTGTGAGTTGCTTATTATTACCAGGAAATAGCTCCCTTCACCCCCCCACCCCTTTTGTCATTAAAAAAAATATAACTCTTGAGCCCACTAATCCATTTTTGGGACAATTTATTCTCAGGAAACAACCTGGTAGAAGGAAAAAGCTCTGTGCATGGTGTTTGTTGCCACATTGTGTATAATTGTGAAAAATTGGGAACAAAGGAATTATATTTTACATTTGTTATTTCTTTGGCTTCTTGTAGAAAGCTTGTGATGAAGGTATTTCACAGATGAGGAAGCTGAGTTTGGAGAGATTAAATGACTTGCCCATGAGCTTGGTGTGATTGAGAAACTCAAAGCAGGCAAAATTCAAGCCTGGTCTTTTTGATTATAAAGGCTGAATGCTTTCCACTAGATCACATTGACCGCATAGATGCTCAGTAGAGAAATGTGAAATAATTGAGAGTGAGTCAGTTTAGTAGAATTGAGTACAATCATTTTAAGTGATAATTATGCATAATTCTGCAACAATAATTTGATATTAGGGGAAAGCAATGGAATATTAAAACTTATGTTATAATTTTATTAAAAATGTATATTTATGAATGTTATCGCTACAGTACTGATTGTTAATAAATAGATGTTGGCCTAGGAACAGTTTTATTGATCATTTGAGGACACCAGGGAGAGTACTGGAATCAGAAACTAATTCTAATACCTCACTTGGGTGCTGCCGGCAGGGTCTCACATGCAGTATTGGTAGGTTTTTGCGACGCTCAGGTGAGTGGTCTAAAGTTTTTGGACTTTCAGAGAGGATAAGAAATTGGCAGTGGTCTGAAGATCTGCTTAATGAGGGCTTGAGTGGAAGTGGGTTTCCTTCGGAAGCCAGCCTTTGTTTCCGTCACAACACCCTGTGAGGTCATTGGTTTTTTAAAAAAATATATCTTTCTTGATTTCAGAGAGAGAAAGGGAGAGAGAGAGAGAGATAGAAACATCAATGATGAAAGAGTCATCATTGATCAGCTGCCTCCCTCCTGCACGCCCCCGACTGGGGATCGAGCCCACAACCTGGACATGTGCCCTGACCAGGAATCGAACCGGGATCTCCTGGATCCTAGGCCGACGCTTGACCGCTGAGCCACACCCGGCTGGGCAGGTCATTGGTTTTTATCCTCATTTTATAGATGAGCCAATAAAGATGTTAAATAATTTTCCCAAGGTTACACGACACAGGTGGCAGCATTGGGAGTTCAGTCCTCTCTGCTGCCCCCAGGGCCTTGCTCTA